GGGTCATTCTGTTGTGGCAGACTGACTACTGTGGGCATTCTGATAGGTTTGGTTGGACCCTTGTCTGGTTGGTTGCCAGGCCCTGCTTTGAGTAGAGGCTTCCAGCTACTGGTTGGCAGGCTGAGTCACGAGGTAGCTGGCTGCAGAACCTCAAGGGACCCCAGGGCTAGTGTTGGCTCACAGGTGGGCAGAAGACGGGTCCAGGAAACTCCAGGGCAGTTGCCCACCCACTGGTAGGCGAAGCCTGGTCCTGGGGCTAGTACCAGTCTACTGGCAAGCAGGGTCATGTTCTGAGGTTTAGCTGCAGGCCCAGGGGTCCCAGGGCTGGTGGCTGACCACTGGTGGGTGGGGCCGTTTCTTGACACAGCTGGCTACGGTGTCTCGGGTGTCCCAAAGCTTGTTTTGGGCTACTAGTGGGCAGGGCCAGGTCTCAGCCGGTCCCAGGGCAGGTGCTGGCCTCCTGGTAGGTGGGCTGGGTCCAGAGGCTGTGGGGCTATAACTGTCCTGTGACTGGTGGGTGAGGCTGGTCCTGAGGCTAGAGCAGGATCAGTGGTGGGTGGGGTCAGGGATTCTGGTGCTGTTTCCTGCCCACTGGTGGATGGAGCTTGGTCCTGTGGTCTCTAGCTGTGGGTCCCTGGGGGTTCCAGGTCTACTGCCTTTACACTGGTGTGTGTGGCCAGGTCCTGGGCCCACCGGTGGGCAGGACTGGGTCCAGGGGCAGCTGTGAGCTCAGGTGATCTTAAGGCAGCCTATCTGCTGGTAGGTGGGGCTGTGTCCCTGCCCAGCTAGTTGTTTGGCCTGAAGTGCCTACAGGCTGGTGGGCAGGGGCAGGTTTGGGTCCTGAGGCTAATAAGCTAGAGGGAGGATGACAAAACGGTGCTGGCTGGCACCAGTGTCCAGGTGGTAGAAAAAGCTCCCCACAATGGCTGCTTTCAGTGTCTGTGTCCCCAGGGTGAGCTACGCCTCCTGCCTCTCCAGGAGACTCTCCCGAGCAGCAGGTGTGTCGGACCCAGGGTCCGTTCAAATTACTGCTTCTTCCTTGGGTCCTGGAGCATGTGAGATTTTGTGTGTGTCTCTATTTAGGACTCTAGGACTAAATTAGAGACTTTAGGACTCCTGCAAGTAAGCCCTGCTGGCCTTCAAAGCCAAACGTTCTGGGGGTTCATCTTCCTGATGCAGGACCCTGGGCTGGGGAGCCCGATGTGGGGTCCAGACCCCTTGCTCCTTGGGGAGAGCCTCTGCAATTATAATTATTCTCCCATTTGTGGGTTGCGCACCTGGGGATATGGGACTTGACTCCACCCCTCCTACCCATCTCATGATTCTTTCTACTCTTTAGTTGTAGTAGATCTTTTCTTGTAGGTTCTGGTATTTTTCATGGTTGTTCTGTAAATAGCTGTAATTTTGGTGTGCCCATGAGAGAAGGTGAGCTCAGGGTCTTTCTACTCTGCCATCTTGGCCCATCTCAACCCCACCGGTTTTAACATCTTGGAAGGTATGGAACACTCGCATCCAGCACTGCTAGGCATTTTTGCCTCAAAACCTGAACGTTGGTACAAGACACTTCTCAAGGCAACAAGGTTGGCTTCGGAGCAAAACTTTTCTTATCCCAATTCAAAAGCATCTTCTTCCTGGCCTTGGAATTCAACATACAGATTTGTTTTTTGGGGCTATGCCATTACCGGCTGCATCTGCTGCTTTTAAAAGTTCTGGGGAAAGTATCATGCTAGGTGGCATATTCTGTCACCAAAATGTGAATCAATTTAGCAGACTGCTTTCCAGAACCATACTAGCACATGAAGGGTGAAGAGGAATTTCCACTTCTAGGTGTAATTTATTTCACTTATAATTTCTAAAGACCCTAAGAATTAAGCTAAGACTAACTTTGGCATATTAAAACTAAGAGAAATCTTTGGATCATCTAATCCAAACTTTTTTAAACAAAGGCCCAGGATAAAGTAATTCATTGGCAACCACACAGCTAATTAATCCACTTGGCAAATTATCATCTTGCCCCATAAAATCTATTCTGATCTTTTCTAACTGGCTTCATGGGGAAAAATGTAACTTTTTAAGGCTTCTCAGGAAGAGGCTAATTTATATTTTAAACCATTTTAAAAGTGAGAAAATGAGGAAATTTTCATGTAATTTAGCAATTTGCTACATTGCCCCTTCTTTATGGGAAATTGGCACTCTGAGTATAAAGAGAGGAGAAAATATCTGTCCTGTTTTCCCTATAACCTTGTCTGTAGCTAAACATCCCCTCAAGGTCAAACTATCTCCCTCCATGAACAAATGCATTCATGCTTTGGGGATCCAAAGAGAAAACAGGTCCTTTCTTTTGAGAAGCCCATAGTCTAGACAGAGACCAGGTGCGTTCGTAAACAATATTATAATTCGTATGGTAGGTACGAAAGATCTCACCCAGAGCAGGGGGTACATTTGTTGCAACTATCACTCAAGGTTTCAGTGTTACAATCTGGGCTGTCAAAGGCTCCCAAGGGCAGTAGAGGGGAGATGATATTTGGAGCAGATAGCAAGTGCAAAGGCATAGAGAGAGAGGACAAACCTCTGTATGTTTATGGAACAAATAATTAGATGTGACAGACAGTTAGGATGCTTGGGAGAACATGGCAAGAGATGAACTGGGAGGAAAACATGAGGAAACTCTCAAGATTTGTTTTGTTTTTTAAAGAAGGGAGTGACATGGTTTTAAAATAATAACAGCCTGTGAGTCTTTAATTCTTATACAACCTATTCAACTCCTTACAGCCCTGCGATGAAGGCTCTATAATTAGGTACTCCCATCCAACAAATGAAAAGCAGAAGGAAGCTCAGTAACCAGCTTAAAGTCGCAGCTCATAAGGATCAAACCTGAGCAGTTTGGCTCAAAAGGCTCACTCATCATGACGCTACTAGTCAGAGCGGAGAATGGGCTGTGGGAGAAGTAGAGGGAAAGATATAAATTAACGTGCTGCTTCGGGTCTAAGCCAGTGTTTCCCAAACTTACCATTCACTTCCTACCTTTACACAACTTTTACCATCTGAGAACCACTTTTAATGTGTTTTTAAACCAACTCATCTCTTTAAACTTAAATTTTACAGGAAAACCTGAGGATAACAACAGGATACCCTAACAGGTAGGCTCATGGCCCCAGAAACAAAAAGCTGTACCCAGAGTTGGATGGTAGAGAAGACGGGACATGTCAAAGCAGGGCAGGCAACAGTAGTCTGAAGCGGGGCCCAAAGGGTGGACGAGCAGCAAGAAGGTAGTTACTGAGAAGGCCTTGAACAGGATGGCAGCTTCAGCACAGGGAGGAAAATCTGAACCAGGGCAGTGAATCTGAGGTACTTACGTGGATAGCGGCGTGGGGGGTTTGTGGCAGAGTGAAGCTGAGACTAAAGAAAGTAGCCCCGGGGCCTGAAAGGAGGAGTCCAAGAAGCAAGCAGAGGGGTGAAGTATGACTGATGGGGAGACCCAGGCTGGGAGCCAAGAATAGTGCTGGGGTATTTTAGCCGGTGAAAGAAGACTGCAGGGTGGGGAAAGGAGGGGTTGTTTAGGGGGTAAGGTAAGAATTCCAGAGGTGAGAGCAGAGGGTAGGTGGAGCCGAGGAAGGACTGCAGCAGCGTGACTCGGGGCACAAGATATTGGGGCAGAACTGGCTTGGGCACCCAGCCCCACCATGTTATATTAGCTTCGGCTGTTCACAGAACAGAGCATCATGATTTTCAGTGTTTGAGAGAAAATCGATGGAAAAAGTTGGCAGTACTTGACATGTACTTGCATATTATATTTTGCAGGTAATCCCTAAGCCTGGATCCTGAACACAGCTTCCCACACATGAGACGAACCTGTCACCCATCTACCACCAGAAATCAGCTCTAAATCTCCAGTGGTAGGCACCACCTTCTGGGAAACACTTGTGTGGGCAAAGCATGATAAAAGCCTGAGGAACGCGATACTTGGAGGAAATTGCCAAGTTTCTAGAAGAACACTTGGGTTATCATCATTATTCTGTTTCATCTTTTTACCCCCCATGGTGCCTAGGCACGAAACTTCGTATATAACAGGCACTCAAATATTTAGTTACAATATTGTGAGTGGTTGAAAAGACATAAGTAAAGATGAGTCTTCTGAGGCACACTGGAATAGTAAGGATCCCATTCATGAACTACAAGGGCAAGGGGAGGGTATCAGACTAGTTCTGGTAGAATGTTTTCCGTCACAAGAAGGGATGATTTTTCAGACAGCTGATAGGCCATCCTAGCTCACTGATAACTAGGAAAGGCCTTGACACTTTAGATAATGCAGGAGAGTGAGAAGAAAGAAAATTACAGATACTGTAGACAAGGCTTAATGTTTCAATAGCCACTCCAGATCACAGGCCCTTTCCCACTGCCTACAAAACCACTTATGTCTGAGCAAAATATGTTCCCCTATAAAGGAACTTTAGAAATTGTGGCCAACAGATCCTAAGGAGACCCCAGTGATTCTCACTTTCTGGCATTCACACCCTTGTATCCTACCTCTTAAGTGGGGGTAGGACCTGTGACTTGCTTTTAACCAAAAGAATATGGCAAAGGTGATAGAAATCATTCCTGTGATCATGTTATGATTATGTTTTATGAGACTCCATCTTGCTAGCAGTCTCTCTCTTTCTCCTGTTAGCCTTAGAGAAGCGAGCAGCCAGGCTGTGAGCTGTCTATGGAGAGGGCCAAGTAACAGGGAATGGCAGGCAGCCTCTAGTCGCTGAGGGTGGCCAATGGCCGCAGCCGGCAAGAATCTAAAGCCCTCAAACCTAAAGTTACAAGGAAAGAAATTATGCCAACAACCTGAAAAGAGTGTGGAAGCAGAATCTACCGCCAGTCCAGCCTCCAGATGAGACCACAGCCCAAGCCAACACCTGGATTATAGATTTGTGAGACCAAGGGCACAGGACCCATCTACGCTGTGCTCAGACTCTTGGTCCACAGAAACTGTGGGATAAATAATACATGTGTGCTGTTTCAAGCTTCTAAATTTACAGTAATTTATTATACAACATAGAAAACAAACAAATCTTAATATAAAAAAGTAAAAAAAAGTAAAAAAAAAAAGTGAAAGGAATGTTGAATTATTGGCCATTTGGGATATTTATTAATGAAGATCAAGCATCGAAAGGTCAGTCCTCAATGCTCATTTCCATGATTTTGAGAGTTGGTCCTTCCATGTCCTGATTACCATCTTTGACACTGCATAACTGAACAGACGGGGAGAGTGCTGTGCTAAAACAACACAACTCATTTGAAGTCTCGACTTTTTCATTGTCATTGTCTCCTTCAATGACATTCACAGAAGTTTCTTGGTCTAGTAAACTGTCTGACATACTTACATTTTTTTCATCCCAAACTGAAGTTCCAAGATTCGTTTCATCATTTACCTGTTGAATTATAACCCCTTCTGAATCCTGTGATTTATAGACAGGCAGGAAAAATTCATTTGGTGAAGAGACTATCTTGTTCTCATCCTTTGGAACAGACAATAACATAGTCAAAGCCTTTTGGTATTCTTGACTTTCCTGTTGAATGGCTAAATCTTGTTCATTTTTATATTCATTTTGTTCTGAATTCTCAGCCTTTTCAAAATCAAGTAAATGCAACATACCAACATCATCTAGCATTACTGAGTTTTCCTTGGACATGCAGCCTAAGTCCACCTTTAGGATATGTAGCAGGTGGCGCATTTTTTCCTGGAGTTAAAAAAAAATACAAGAATAATAATATTAATTAAGCTAGTCAAATTGAATTACTTTTGTCTGCAGTGCTGCTAACCTCAGCAGGATTCATACTTCTTCTTCCACATTCTGCCCGCACCCCTCACCCCCAGAGTACACAAAAAAGCACAAGGGAAAAAAAGTGCTTGCTTTTAATGCATTGATTGAGAGTATGGTAAAACTTTAAAATTCTTTCTATATTAGAAATTTTCTAATGAAGTTCTAAAGACAACAAACCTCCTCCAAATGATGTTTATTTTGTTTTATATGTCTCTCAAACAGTCGTTCTAGAAACCTACAAATGATAAATAAAAATGTTAATGTCTCAAAATCAGAAAATCAGCTAAATATAAAATAGCCATACAATAAATAAACTACTAAAGGTTGGAAAATATGTTTTAGATTACCCTTTTTCTTTCCAGAGATAAACACTAATCCTTCCCTGTTCTGTCAAGTTCTCCAATTTGGAAGCTAGTATGGCTTCCACTATGTTTTAGTTATGTAACAGATGCCAATGTTTCTTCTAAAAAGACTGCATGCTACTTACATTTCTGTTAATAAAATATCTTCAGTGAGGTTCCACCCCCCACACACACACTAAAAGTTCTTTATCTTTTTTCTCTCACACACATACACAAACATCAAAAGCCTTCCCCCCTCTTTCTCTTTCACATATACAACCCCCCAAAAGCAAACCCCTAAAGAAAATTCTTTACAAAGAATTTTGTAAAGAGTTACCTTACAATGCTTCCAAATTGTACTTGAAAAAAATTCCACTCATAGTAAATTCACATAAAAACCTAAAGTTATCACTTATTAAGCACCACTAAGTGTTAGACATTTGTGCTGGACAAATAATAATCATTATACGTCTCTGATCATGACCAATACTGGGAGACAAAGGTATTATAAAACCCATTTTAAAAGATGAGAAAACGACATAGTCTAAGATGATGGTTTAACTCTCCCCTAAGGTCACAAGCAATTAAGAGAATGAAACCCAGATATGTCTGGCTCCAGACACATTCTTTCAACTACACCATGCTTGTCCAGCTCACAGGAGTATATCAACCGGTTTCATTTTACCATTTGTTACTCTCAGTGAAGTTATAAGCCAATCTTAGATTTAGTTTTTCTGAATTATTTGAAATGTTTAAAAAGTCCAAGAAATCTGTATTCTGTATTTTAAAACTATCAATAATGTTTGGACCATTCACTTCTGGGCACTGTTCTATGCATATATATTTCTTTACCAAAATTGGGATTACACAATACATACTGTTTTGATATCTATATTGTTTTTCTAATCAACTATATATTTTGAACATCTTTATGCATCAATAAATTCACTTCTACAACATCATTTAAAATCTCTGAACAGAACTTACTATTATATTCTACAATTTATTCAGCTGAACCTTTACTATTCAACATGTAGGTTGATTCCATTTTTTGGTGCTACTATAAAAATTGCCATAATAAACAGCCTTATAATCTAAAAGAAAAATGTGAGTTTTTTAAGCATAAATACACATTTTTCATGCCAACCATTTTTGTTTTGGCTTCTAACTTTTGCTTTATTGTTTTTATTTACAGTTGGTATCAATGTTTTTGCTGTGGTAGTGGTAAAAAGAACACATAAAATTTACCATCTTAACCAACTTTTTTTTTTTTTTTTTTTTTTGCGGTACGTGGGCCTACCACCGTTGTGGCCTCTCCCGTTGCGGAGCACAGGCTCCAGACGTGCAGGCTCAGCGGCCATGGCTCACGGGCCCAGCCGCTCCGCGGCATGTGGGATCTTTCCGGACAGGGGCACAAACCCGTGTCCCCTGCATCGGCAGGCGGACTCTCAACCACTGCGCCACCAGGGAAGCCCCATCTTAACCAATTTTAAATCTACAGTTCAGTGGCATTACGTATATTCACACTGTTGTGAAACCGATCAATAGAACTTTTTCATCCTGCAAATCTAAAACTCTACACCCATTATGCAGACATTCCTTTTTAACATAAAGAGGTAAACAGAATTATTGTAAAAAAATTCAGGTCTTTTTGGTGTAGCTTTTTATACTAATAATGAAAATGTTCGCTTTAAGAAACTTCATATAGAAATAGAAATAACTCATTAAAAATGTCTGCACTTCACATATTATTATGACAGGGAAAGCATGTAGCATATACATAATGGGGTCCTATGATACATATCATAAAGTTTTATCTAAATGAATTTCAGCTAAATAAATGTATAAGCTGGCTCAGGACCACACAGTTTCTTTAAGATATACAATACTAATCTGGTTTTGCAAACTTCCCCTTTTACTCACAGTGTGCAAATGTAGCCTTTAATTTGTCCTCACGTTACTAGTAACAGTTGTAACAAAAAAAAAGCTTGCTTTTGGTTCTCATGACAGTTTCAAATAGTAAAAAGAGATGATGGATCTTTGTAAAGAAACAGCAAAATTTAGTTTACTAGTCTATTATAAACTAACGGATAGAACAGTATTTTTTTGGCTTGTTTCTTTGTAGACTGTATGGGATTTTTACATGGGTGATAATGTCATCTGTGAATAAAGACAGTTTTATGGTTTTCTTTAAAATATAGATACCACGGGCTTCCCTGGTGGCACAGTGGTTAAGAATCCTCCTGCCAATGCAGGAGGCTCGAACCCGTGTCCAAGAAGATCCCACATGCTGCAGAGCAACTAAGCCTATGCACCACAACTACTGAGCCTGTGCTCTAGAGCCTGTGAGCCACAACTACTGAACCTGCATGCCACAACTACTGAGCTGTGCTCTAGCGTCCACAAACCACAACTACTGAGCCCACGTGCCACAACTACTGAAGCCCGTATGCCTAGAGCCCGTGCTCTGCAGTAAGAGAAGCCACCGCAATGAGAAGCCTGCACACCGCAACAAAGAGTAGCCCCCACTTGCTGCAACTAAAGAAAGCCTGCATGCAACGAAGACCCAACACAGCCAAAAATAAAAATAAATAAATTATTTTAAAAAAAGAATCTGCCTGCCAATGCAGGGGACATGGGTTCGAGCCCCGGTCTGGGAGGATCCCACATGCCATGGAGCAACTAAGCCTGTGCGCCACAACTACTGAGCCTGCGCTCTAGAGCCCGTGAGCCACAACAACTGACCCCGCATGCCACAACTATTGAAGCCCGAGAGCCACAACCACTGAGCCCGTGTGCTGCAACTACTGAAGCCCGCACACCTAGAGTCCGTGCTCCACAACAAGAGAAGCCATGACAATGAGAAGCCTGTGCACTGAAATGAAGAGTAGCTCCCGCTCGCCGCAACTAGAGAAAGCCCACGTGTTTCAATGAAGACCCAATGCAACCAAAAATAAATAAATTTATAACAAAAAATATGGATACCATTTCTTTTTCTTTGTGATAAATTTTTTTGAAATTGAGGTATAATTGCCATATTATTATATTAATTTAAGGTGTACAACGTAATGATTTGATATTTGTATATACTGTAAAATAATCACCACAATAAATCTAGTTAACATCTGTTAACATATGTAGTTACAGAAAATTTTTTTCTTGTAATGAGAACTTTTAAGATCTATTCTCCTGGTAACTTTCAAATATACAATATGATATTATTAACTACAGTCATGATGTTGTACATTATATCCCCATGACTTGTTTATTTTATAAATGGAAGTTTGTACCTTTGGACCCCCTTCAACCATTCTGCCCCTCCTGCCCCACCTCTGGCAATTTGTTCTCTGTATTTAAGAGATACGACAGTATTTAATGAACAAACTCTCTATTCTTTTCTCTACCTCCCCAAACTGTGAACTCGCCTTAGAGTATGAATTAAACATCCTTTATAATTTACTATCAATTATAAGAACAATTACATCAATTATAAGAACATGATCCCCTAAGAAAGCAATATCATTTTCATTTCCTAATATGTGGAAATAACTTTAAAAAATTAACACCAAATGAAGAGTATTTAATATATCATTCAACCACTATAATACAATTTAAAAAATCTAACCTGTTTGAAAATAAACCAAGTTTCAAAATTTCATCTGTTACATCTTCAATGAAACTCAGATACAACAGTTCTTCTTCACTGTGAAGGCAAAGTGATATACAGCATAAAAAATCACTGCTTATTTACTCTGAAAATGATAGGAAACATGAGTACCTAATTAGAAATATCTGTACTATTACAAATGTACTTCCATCTCACATTATTATGAGGAATATTATAAAACAAACATTACATCTACCTTCTCAAATTATGCAAGGATATTTATTGATATTAAAGATGAGACAATATTCCCTAATAGAGTAAAACTTCATAGACGTCTGAAACATTCATCAGGAAGTAAAAAATAAGCAAGGATTAAACAAAACAAAACAGAACAGAAAGCAACCAGGGGCAGCGCCAAGAGGGCAACTAGGTGTGACCCACCGGGGGCCCGTGTTCTTGACAAGCATTTTAAATTTCCTCTGGCTCCTGACCAGGTCCAGCAGCAGAGGTGTGAGTCCCTCTGCATGGCAGAAGGGAAGGAAGAAAGTCATCCAGAGAAACAGGAACTTCAACGATGAAATCCTCTCCTGCTCCTAGGAGAGCATACTGTTTTAAGGTTGAGAAATTTACTGAGCAGAAAAAATTATTTTTTTTCCTCAAAAGGTTTGGAGATGAGGAAAAATATTCTAAAAGAAAAATCTGTGTATATACAGTAATAAATTTTAATTACTTGGACACATTTCTCTGTTATATTATCTTCTGAGTTAACTACATTTTACAAGTTATTACAAGAAAATTAGGGTACTATTATAGGTTTGATTTTAATTAGCTAAAAATCAGTGATGATAGAAAATGTAAATAGCAAGCAACTACTCAATTACTGAAAAAGTAAATACAAGGGAAAGAGTTAATTAGCAAATCAAATAGAAGATTAAAATACTGCATAAAAATTACACTTTCAAACCAATTCACAGGCAGCAAGTTTGAGAATAAATGAAAGTCTATAAAAGTAGATTGTTTTCCCTGAAAAAATACAGCTTAACTAAAACAACATTCAAACCCAGAAGTGGGTTTTTTATCTGCAAAAAACTGGTGAAGTTAGAAACCTCCAAGAATGGTATCCTGAGCTACCAAGCCTACATTTCTCTAAAACTCATCTTTATTATTCTTTATTATTTTTATTTATAAAAATAAAAATTATGGGTACTAATTATAAAAAAAATAGCAAGTATTATTAACTTAGGGACAAATTTCTACTGGACATAAAGATGAAGTGATTAATAATTATTTCAGAAAATTCTGGTCATTCTCTCAGATTTGGTGTGCATTATATGACTGAACCCCAAAGCTGGTTGTAAAGAAAGATTAGTGTTCAATCCTGACTAATTTAATAATAATTTGTGTGAGTCTTAATTCTTCATTTCCACTAAGCAAAATGAAGAAGTCAAAAACATCTTACTCAGAATAGATTTTTCTCCCTGAAGGAGGCTGCAGGGAACATTGACATACTGCCCTGGAAAGAGAAAATTAGAGTGTTTGAACAAAACAATGATTTGGCATACAGTAATATGGTAGTAATAATATGTTTCAGAATTTTAAAGCACTTTTCACATTCATTATCTAATCTAATCTTCAGAAAAACCCTGTCAGGTATATTAGGTAGGTGTTATTTTTTCCACTTCCTAAACAATTCACCTGGGGCAGAAAGGCTAAGTAACTTGCTAAGGTCATGTGTTAGTAAGTAACAAAGATAGATTTTTAAAAGTCTTGTAATTACAAATTCATGATCCTTTTAAAAATTGTACTATGAAACTTACCTTGTATAAACAATTAGTTTGACTAAGATTAAAACATAAATGATGTTGGAAACATATCTCCCTATAGAAAAAAGTTTTAAGCTGTTAATTATGATAAATTTTGTCATTATTCAGTTATGTCATCATTAGTTAATTCCAAGCTTCCTATTCAGGTATATTCAATTATAATATTTTACTTTACTTCTTTTGGATAGAAGCTACTGGGAAAGATAACTATCCCTTTCTTTAGGTTATTCTTTATATTCACTGAAGACTGGCTCAACTGGCTCAAGAGAGTATCTTAAGTTATGAGTACTAAAGCATCATGAATTTCCAGACAGAGAAGTCAGCAATAAACCTCCTTGCCACTCCCTCCCCCCACAAAGCCTTTCCAGGTGAGATCTCCCTAAGGAAAGGCCTGAGGGAAGACCTGGGCCCTGAAGGGCTGCGTGTGCTTGCTTCCAGTCTGATACAGGATGTCTCATTCTTGCTCTTTAGTCTTTTTTTCCTTCCACCTCCTTCATCTCATATCCAAACTCTGACACTGGAAATGCACTTGACAGCTGAAGCTATCAAAGGCATTTTTTAGGTTCTGTACTACCTGCTAACCTATCATTTTTATTTAGGCGCAGTGTTCTGTAATTCCAAAACATGAGGAGTCGTTTTAAAAAATAGTGCCTCCTCTACAAAGCACGGACAGATAAAGCACTAGCACATGAGGAATATTCAAAAGCACAAATGCTGAATCCTCAAATGGTAGGGTTCTTCAGTACTATCTGTGCCATGAAAAACTGGTTAGCATCACTGCTGGAGGATCTGTCTTGGGGAAAATCCTTTCTCATAATGAAGAGGGATAGTAAATAATACAAGCCTGTGTCCCTTTTCCCTTTATTAATGAATTAGCAAAATGAATTCATTTACACTTTTAGTGACTACCTACTTCGTAATACTTCCTTAGTAAAACTAACAGGGCCACTGAATTGTGTAATACCAAAACAGATGGGAGAGCATTCAGTTAAAACAGTACTCATGTTTCCAAGTCTGAAGTGTCTGTCCCCTGCCACCGCCCCGCTACAGCACGCGGCACGTGGGATCTTAGTTCCCCTGACCAGGGTCAAACCTTCGCCCCCTGGAGTGGAAGCACGAAGTCTTAACCACTGGACCGCCAGGGAAGTCCCCTCATGTTGCAAAGTCTGTACGTCTGTTACACAGGAAAGCAGTTAGATATAAACAGGTGAAATACCTTGATGAGGAACACTGAAGAGCACTGTCTTTAACCTCATCCCATGGTAATTCATGTCCTTGTAAAGGTAAAGGGGTTATTTTTCCTTTGGTACCATACGACATACAGCTAGATGCCTGGGGATGCAATGAGAAGAATAAATCTTTATTTTGCTTCAAAAATACATTATGAAAGCAGAACTAAAGCAAAACAGGAAATTTCCAAAAATAGTTGATGAAAGAGCACAGAGATACCCAGTAGATAAATGTGACTGATATATTAGGACAAAGGATGTTTCAGAATTCACTTTTCATACAATCAAGACTTCTTTCTTAAATTTATTTAAAGGTAAAACAAGTTCTTATATTTTAATGACGAATATTTTAAATGACATTAAAGAATACCACAAATAAACATATAAAGAGAAACCAAGCAAATAAGTAAACTTGAGAGAAAATAGCCAATTATTCAGAAACTCAAATAGCCCATCTGTTTCAAATGCCAACCTATCAAATATGTATTGTAGAAGCAGTGGTAGCTCCGGCAGTACGAACAACAATATAAAGAAAAAAACAAAAATAATGGCAGCCTACTTTTATAGAACGCTTACGAGGGGCCAGATACTGTGTCATGCATTTACTTGCATTATCCGAGTTAATCTTTAGAATGCTAATTTATGTGTAGTGCTTTACCGTTTTAAAAGTGCTGTTAGGATGGTCTATCTACTGTAGCTAATACTCTTACTAGCTTCCTCAAGTTGATTATGGAGTAAGGGGACATGCCGTTTTCTTACAGGGTTATTAGATAAACATTCGGAGCACAATGTCATAAAAACGGACTTCTGCTTTAGTTTATTTAGTTATCTACGGAGCTAAAAACCCTCTTCCTAAATCTCAAGCTAGTCATAGCCATCATTTACTGAGCCCGGGTCAGACTAGGTACTTTACCTACAACATTTAATCCTTCCAATGATCCTGCACATTAAGTACAGTTTTTCTAGAGGTGGAAACTCAGCTCTCAGAGGAACTGATTTGTCCTTGGGCCTTAAATGGCAGAACCCTATGTCAAACAGCTATTAATGGCTGGGATGGAAAACTATGATCCTCTACCCATTTTCAGAAGGGAAGAGGGAAGCTGAGTATGCTTATATTATCCCTGAATCTGCTTGACATTTTAATAGACAAACCTTTTTCACAAACAATAAATTTAAATTAGTGTATGATTAATACCCCTAAAATAAAAATAATCAGTTTATATCTCAAAGTCAGACTTAAAGCTGTAATATTTTAAAATAAATGATTGCTACACATTCAAAATACAAACACTAAAAAAGATCTTCACAGTCTAGAAAAAAGTAAAAGCAAGTACAGGAGAATGATATCCATCTGTTTTTATAAAATGTATTATTTCCAATAATATAATCAGTGGCAATTCTTTAAAAAAAATACAGGCATAGAAACTAAAATAACTTCTGCACAACTTTTCTGGCTCCTTTAGTGATCCAAGTCTGCAACTTTGAAAAGAACATATAAGGTATTTTACTCATCCACCCGTCTATCCAGCCAGCCAACCAACCACCTAGAAAAGTTGCCAACAAAAAATGACTTCCCGGATTGGGCAGGATCCACCTGGCCGCTCACAGAGACATATAACCATCTGTAAACAAGCAATACTTCTGTATACTGGTTGTATCACATGCAAGAAGTGTCATCAAGAGATTATTCTTCACAGTCCAAATAGCTACACATGTTCTGTTAAAGCAGCTATAATTCTAATGTAGGACACAAAGAAATCTCATTTTTATTACCTGCTTTATGTTCATTTCTGAATCTGTGAAGTTCTTAATCTCAACTGTCTCAAAATCAGATTGAAAGCTGTAATATTTTAAAAGAAATTATTGTTAAATCTTCAAAGTATAAACACTGTGGTAATAAGCTTTACTGGCTAGAAAAAAATAAACTTCAAACGTGAGAGATAAAATGCATCTATTCTTGTAGAATGTGTAATTTCTAATTATATAATCGGGAAATAGATATGGTTTGGATTACATATGCCTCTTTTTCCTTTTTTTGAATAGCAGCTAGATTTCAGTTGGACAGAATGGGACTAGGGAAGAGGAAAGCATTATCTTCAAAAGCTGTCAAAAATATAATCAGAAAAGTATTCGTTGTATTTGCTTCCCTCATTTCTTCTTCACTTAAAAATTCTATCATTAGATTTAATTCCTTAATTCTTTAAATGTATACAGACTGATCTTACTATACCTCTTATCTTTACCCAGACAAAAGAATACTAATCATAAATTGTTTTTTACTTTTAAAAGTAATTAAAACCTAGCACCAGATAAGTATTCATTTATATAACACTAGGAAAAACAATCACAAATCCGCTAACACTCAATACTTTACAAGATTTGTTTCTTTCTTCAACCATCTGGCAACCTTTAATGAATATTCATTATGTGCCAGGCACTACTGTATATGAAAATATTACTGAGGCAAATTATACTTAATTTCCAGAAATTATCCCAATTGCCTACATTATACCTGAGGAGCTGTTGCTGAGTATTTGCAGGGAGGGAAGCATAGAGGTAGTTAGACAAACAGTTGCTTTTTCTCCCCCAATATAGCCCATTGTTTCGCCATTTCTAACATAAATCAATAAACATATTTACACAAATGCTGTCTGATGACATATTTTACGGATTCTCTGAAAGTATATTTAAAAACATACAAAAGTTCTAGTACCATGTTTGAAACAATAAATTAAAATATGTAACATTCATGTTTATAAGGAGCTTGACAAGTTTAATAGCTATTTATTTTTTCAACAATTACTCTGATAGTTGTTCTAGTGATTCATGCAGAAGGAAAAGCCACATTAACCTCATTCTAATCAAAAGGGCACTACCACACCTTAAGTGTGGCACATAGGGTACATGATATAAAGTAAGGAATATTATTTAATTTCTACCACATCGTGAAGGATCTACTATTGGCTGTTGTGCCATACCTGCTTAATTGAGTCTGAGTTTCAGCTTCTATCTGCTGATCTGTAAAATCCTTTTTTCTTTTCGCAGGTGTATAATATCGATACTGTGACAGGAAAGATTTTGCTTCTGTTTTTAAAGTGCGTGGGGTGAATGGCAAATGTCTGTTAGAAAAGAGTTCAGAATGTTTATCCAAAAGGTCCCCACTGGGTGCTTTTGAAATTACTAACTGAAACCGCTGGGAATTTAGGGATGTGCTCCGGGGCCTTCTGCCGTAGGAGGTTCCAGAGGATGATTTCCTGGGCCCAGAGGCAGCGTGATCCATGCTGGACAGGAAGGAACTGGAGTTCTTCTCAGTACCATTTGTGAGGACTTTATCGGATTTAGGTGGATTTAAGTGTAGTCGCTCTGAAGAAGTTACTGGTGTCCTTTTAAAGGATGGAAATCTGTTCACTTCTTTGATTAACATAGCATCTTCATCTTGTGGTTCTCCTGGAGGCTAAGAACATTTGGTTTAACAGTGATCAGTTACATTTACAAATTCAGATAATTGGGGATCTCCAGATTACACATTAAAAAATGTAGAGCCTCAGGGCTCTACAAATATAGTGTGTATGTTCCTGAAAATTTGTATTTGAAGTTATATTCAAGTTTTTGAATTATTAATATATAAAAATATAATTCTAAATATAAGCAATAGCAATCATTTTTCTTTCTGAAACTAAAAAAATGATTAATAACATATAACCATATTTGTGGTCTTGAACCTGTGTACTGAGGTAGATCTCAGTTTTATTTGAGTTTCCAAACCAATCGTGAGTACTAATCCCCTTCTCAACCACTGCTGGTGGCAGCATCCACCCATTCCTGCCTTGTCATGACCACCTTCAGTGCCAGCAGTTCCTCTGTGACTTAAAGGCTTTGAAGGAATGAAAAGGAACTTCTCTTCACAATGTATAGATGTATGGAGCCCTGATTTAAGTAACTGATATTTTAAACATAATTAAGAAAGGTTGATGCCATAGGGAAGTTCATATGTTTCTTTCTCAACCTCTCATGAGTGGGGAAAGCTTTGAAAGGAAGGCATTTTGGCCTGCTCTATTTCTTTTTGGTTTAACCATTAAAAAAAAATTTTTTTTAAATTGAAGTATAGTTGATTTACAATGTTGTGTTAATTTCTGTTGTACAGCAAAGTGAGTCAGTTATACACATATATACATTCTTTTTAATATTCTTTTCCATTATGGTTTATCCCAGGATATTGAATATAGTTCCCTGTGCTATACAGTAGGACCTTTTTGTTTATCCATTCTATATGTAATAGTTTGCACCTACTAACCCCAAACTCCCAATCCATCCCTCCCCCACCTGCCCTCCCCCTTGGCAACCACAAGTCTGTTCTCTATGTCTGTGAGTCTGTTTCTGTTTCATAGATAGGTTCACTTGTGCCATATTTTAGGTTCCACACATAAGTGATATCATATGGTATCTGCCTTTCTCTTTCTGACTTACCTCACTTAGTATGATAATCTCTTGATGCATCCCTGTTGCTGCAAATGGCTTTATTTCATTCTTTTTTATGGCTGAGTGGTATTCCATTGTATATATGTTTGGTTTAACTTTGGAAGAACTATTTCTACAGGGTATTCATAAGGTTTAAGAGTATAGGTAATATTTTATTCTTTTACAGACTAGGTGCCCATAGACTAGATGCCTTGTCCATGATTCCAGACTTTAGGGACACCTGTGTATCCTTTACAGAACTTTGAGGCACTTTATTAAATGGTAGAGAAGAAGTTACATGGAAGTTAATCTGGAGTGAAAAAGGCTGGGATTTAGCCAGTTATATCTGTCCTACAAGCTCATGGGGAGGAAAACAAGAGGAAGACAAGCAAGCTGAATAAGAAAGGAGCTGAGTGCTTTCTGTGCACAAGGTACTGTTATTGCCTTTGAGTAGAAATAAAAGAGGAATAGTAAGAACTGTTACTATTACCACTGCTACTATTACATATGGAGTGCATACTATGTGCAAGGTACTGTTCTAATTAATTTACACGTACGACTCATTTAATCATCACATCAACTTCTGGGTGGTGGTACAATTAGTACCTCTACTATGCAGATGAAGAACCTGAGGGGCAGGGTCTCATAGATTTGAACCCAGGTGAACCTATGCTCTTCCCATTATATCATACTATCTATTTTACAGACTCATTTGAAATTTATACATTTTTAGATTTTTTTTACATCACCAGGAATCTTAAGCTGATTTTAACTCCTTTCATGGTGATGAACAAGTCAGCTAACTTACATATTGATTTACCTCAGCAAGGAAATTGCAGATAACTAGATATGGTGACTACAGCCTAAAATAGGTCAAGTCACCTATTTCCTTTCCAAGTGCTTTCCAACTTTATCCCAAATATAAAGCAGAATTACTCAAAGCAACTAAGTATTTTGGCATTAAACTGTGAGTCACTAGGGTAGTGTTTAGTTAATGACTTTAACACGTTAATTGTAAAAAGTGTTCCCAAACTAGGTTCACACTGCAGCTTATGTACCAGAGGAGTCTGGCTCTCCGGAAAGCAATTTCTAAGTATGATCTGAAAAATCTTTTAGGGCTATTAAATAATAATCACAGGAATTATTTACACTTGGGGAACAGAACAAATTGGGATCATAGCAGGCAGAAATGCATAAGGCATTAGATTGCCTGTGAGAAAATTCTTACCAGTAATGGTTATTTAATAAACAAAATGAAATACCAAAGAAAGTCTTTAAAGGCAAGAATATACTCTCATCTGTCTGAAATGGGCTGGGAAAATCGCTCTTGAATCAATTGAAGGCATGAAACTTTTCTGTATCTTTATATCTTATAATTCCTACCCTGTATCCTACTTCTTCTTTCCTGGGAAACCAGTAGAACACAGTGCAAAACCAACTGTACCCATCTGCTTTTTTGAGATTATATAATTTTTAACTACGAATATCAGAAAGCTTGGATATGATTTTCATAGAAAATGTGTAACACACTGGTAAATTCACCAAAATTAAAATAGCAGATCACTGTAAAGTTCTAAAATCAGAAAAGTGTTCATCAATTATTGTCAATGGAACAAAAATTCTGGTGGTAATCTGACCACTTTCACTTTAATGCAATTTGTTGTAAACTGTTTCTGTGATTTAAGAATTTATGTAAAGTGATAATCATTGACAGTTAACATACATGTTTTTATGTCAAAAATACCTATCCAATTTCACAATCACAGAATAACTAAGTATTAAATCAATCTTTTTCAGGGATAATGTCAGAAGAAATGGTATACAAAGATTTTCCAATTGTCAGGTTTTAAAACAGTTGAGGAATCAATTCAAGTGCAGAACAGGATAGATACAATTTATTTAAAATTTTGACTAACACTTGTTTTGCAAAAAGCTTCAAATTGTATTTTACAAAAGAAACTGATAGCTTCTGATTTTCACTGTTTTATAATGCTTTTAAAATAGATTTATTTAAGAACATGAATCACATTCATATATTCAATTAATCTTAATATCACAGGGTATGTGCTGCACCAGTGATGTGAGTGAGTGGTGAATAACTGTGTGTGAGGTATAAGGTGCAGACTTAAAAGTGTCTGAGGTGATAGCATGTAAGTCAAAATGTAAGAGAAAATAAGTAGCCCATATTACAGTGTGGGCAATTAAAGAAAAAGTTTTTGATTACATGGTCTCACGTATATAAACAGCTAATATGTCCAGAGGCCAAAGTTACCACTTTCTTTTGAATTGTAGCAAACTTTTCGGTAAATGCAGATTATAACTACAGGTAACTGTTAATCATAAACCCACCCAATTATCAAAATATTATGCCCCAAATAATAATTTTAATTTGAATGTATCTAAATATTTATCATCAAGTATTATAAAAAATGTAAGCAAATTGCAAATTACTATTAAGTCTAAATGGAGTAAAAAATATACTTATATAAAAGCATAAATGAACTATATTTTTAGAAGCAAAAAGTTACAGGGTTACAGTGACTGAAGGAAAAAATCGTCCGTTTACAGACTTAATTATATATTTTGTTTTCAACAAATCCCATCCTTACCTCAAAATAGAATTATTTATATTCAAAATGCTAGATAATAGAAACATATTTTAAAAAATATGTTTAAAAAGTACCATCACTGAAAATGAAAATACATACATGAGTCAAACACTGATGAACAGATTCCCAGATGGTACAGTGTATAGCAGGCTTATTCTAAAGGAAGCAGCTCTATTCCTAGTCCTTTTATCTACAAAACAGCCTTGGGGACTCTTAGACATATTTACAGCTTTCCTGATGACTCCCAAATCTATTTTCAGCCCAGACCTCTCTCCTGACACAGATACTTATATCCAGCTCTCTACTGAATATATTAGATGTTCCAAAGGCATCTCAAATTAAACAGGTCCGAACAAGTAAACTCGGGCAAGCCAGAAACCTGGAAACCTCCCAGTTGCCCAAGCCAGAAACCTGGAAACCTCTTTAATTCCTGCCTCTTGCTCTTCATATCATCTGATCAGTCACCAAGTCCTGGGGATTCTACTTTCTAAATGTCTCCTAAATATATATTCCTTATGCTCCTTCTGCTGTCTTATAGATCATATCTTAATCATTTCTTCCCTATACTGCAACTGTCACACAATTAGTCTGTCCTTCCCTGCTGCCAGTGTAGTCTTTGTAAAGTGTCAATATGATGACATAACTTCCCAACTAAAAACTGGTCTATGGCTCTGCCACACTTCTCAGAGAAAAAGGACCCAGGTTCACTCTTAATTCACAAATGCCCTTAGTCTTTACCCCTGCCTACTGATATGTCACATCTTCATGTACAATAGAAAGAGCTGGAGTCAAAAATGAAACGGCTTTTACCAACAGGCAATAGTTTTTCCATATCACAGTTGCTAGGGGACAGAAAACAAAGCTCAGGGCCTAATCTAGACAGTCTAGGAGACCATGCTCATGAATCTGGGATTCTCTCAATGGCGACCCTCCAATTAGATGACTTACAAAGAAACTTGCCCATCTTGAACACTGGCACTGAGAGAACAGTGGCCTTTGAGAATGCGAAATCATATGCTGCTTCCACACAAGCTTGCAGCCTAAATTTGCATTACCCAGATGGTCCACAAAAGCCTTAAGCCAAGACAAATGACTCAAGTTTTTTCCAACACATAAATTGTAGGGGGATAAAAAGGTGGGGGAAAGAGAAATTATTGATTAAAAGAAATGTATCAATTAGTTGAAATTATTTAGATTCCAATTCCAACAAACTTAAAAAAAAGAGAGAGAGATAATGGGGAAATGTGAACAGTGGATATTTGATGATATTAAGGAATTATTAATTTTTAAGGCATAATAATGGTATGGTGGTCTATCTTTTAGATATTTAGATATATACAGAAATATTTATAGATAAAATTATATATCTGGTATTTGCATCAAAATAATCTGGGATGCAGGTAGTGAGTGAGGATATACATGAAATAAGTCTGGCCCTGAATTGATCATCGTTGCACTTAGGGGACAAGAACACGTGGGTTCATTATACCACTCTATTTTTAGAGATGCTAAAATTTTCAAAATTAAAAAGTTTAAAAAGAGACCATCACACACACAAAAAGACTTCCAGTTTCAGCTGACAGATGGAGAGAAATGGAAAGAGCATAGGTCTCACCATTATAATAAGAAAAAAAGCTGGACAAACTGCAAATTAATGATTTTTCTTGAACTATTGAGAGAACTAAGGTCACAACTAACCTAAAATCCACAGTGATATAGGTACCTGCAGGGAGAAACAGAACCTAAGCATTTACTTATTTGGGACAGATGCTGCTGAATGACATATAAACTGGTAAGAAGATTATGCTAGAAGTTTTTAGCTAATTGCTAAGGACTGAGTGTGGACTAGTGTAAGAGTATGAAGCCTCTGCGACTTGGGGAGTTTGTACCCTCTTGCAGGCTTTTCCTCTAGGAAAGAGCTTTTCCACCAAAAGCTCTCAGGGAAGAGCAGGAAGAATCCTGAGAAAATTTCCCCCTTCCCTTGTTTCTTTGGCATGGCTAGGGGAGGGGAACAGCACCCACTGCAGAAATTACTCTCAGACCAATTTTTCCTTTCTCTCAATCTACAGGGGGAAATTCCCTTCACTTTGCCACATAACAATTACAGAAGTGATATTCCATCACCTTTGCTGCATCCCATAGGTTAGAAGCAAGTTACAGGTACTGCCTACACTCAAGACGAGGGGATTATTTAAGGGTGGGGATCACTGTGGGGCTTAGAATCCTGCCTACTACTGTGGGTCAAATAGAAAGTACACAAGAAGAAAGAAGAAATGAAAACATACTAAATGCTCCACTTTAAAAGGCAAAGATTATCAGAGTGAATAATCTGACTCACCTAAAACCTATCTAAAATATTAGGATTAAAAAATGGAAAAAGTGGGGGCTTCCCTGGTGGCGCAGTGCTTGAGAGTCCGCCTGCCGATGCAGGCGACATGGGTTCGTGTCCCGGTCTGGGAAGATCCCACATGACGCAGAGCGGCTGGGCCCATGGGCCATGGCCGCTGAGCCTGCGCGTCTGGAGCCTGTGCTCTGCAATAGGAGAGGCCACAACAGTGAGAGGCCCGCGTACCGTTAAAAAAAAAAAAGGAAAAAGATATACCAAAGGAATACTAATGAAATGAAAGCTGGTTTAACTATATCACTATCAGAAAACACTTTAATATAAAAAGCATCAAGGCAAAGAAGTTCAAACCACAGTGACAACAGGTTAGATTCACCAAGAAAATATATCATCTCTAAGTCTGTATGTATATAATAATATAGACTCAAAAATATAAAACAAAAATTGCTAGTACTAATTCTTGGAGAAATAGCTAAATATATAATCATGTGAAAGATTTCTCTTAATAAAAGATAGACTAATTAGACAAAAAGATCAATAAGATTTGAACACCTAAAAGATATAAAACTTAATCTAATGCATACACTATATATTAAATACTACATACAGCTACAGAATATATTTTCTTTTCAAACACATATGACATAGTGCATTACAAAATATTGTCCAAACAAATAAAAGGAAAAAAAACTGTCTACCTACTGGGCCATAAAACAAGTCTCAACAAATTTCAAGAAATGGATATCACACAGATGTTCCCTGATCAAAATACAATTAGGCTAGAAATCTGTAACAAAGAGAAAACCAGGAAAAAAAATAGAGATTAATAAACACTTCTAAAAGATGCTTGAGTTAAAGAATAAATTATAATGGAAACTGTAAAATACTTTGAACTGAACCATAATAAAAATACCACATATCAAAACTTGTGGAATGCAGCTAAAGCAGCACTTGAAGGAAAATATATAGCCTTAAAAATGCTCATACTATGAAAGAAGTGAGGCTGAAAATAAACTAAACAGAAGTAGAAGAAAGTACTGTAACATAAACTCAAAGAAAGCCAAAAGAGGAAAATAAAGCATGAACATTACCCAACTAGAAAACAAAGTACAACAGAGAGGATCAATGCAATAAAAGATGTGCCCTTAAAAAGGTTAATAAAATTGACAAATCTCTGGTGAGAATAATAAAGAAAAGACTGAAGGCACAAATGAACAACATTAGGATAAAAAGAAGAACTAATACATATTCAAGAGAGATTATGAAATGATTTAAGAGATATTATGAACAAGTCTATGCCAAGAATTTGAAAATTTAGATGAAATGGACAACCTTCTACATATGTACAACTTATGAAAATAGTTCTATAATGATTTCAAAAATTGCAGTCAAAAATCTCACAAATAAAACTCTAGGCCCAAATAATTTTAGTGCTGAGTTCCATCAAATTCAAGGAACAAATAATTCCAAACTTACATAAACTACTCTAGGGCATGGAAAAAGAGGAAATAGCACCCAGTTTATTTTATGAGGCTAGCAAAACCTGACATAGCAGAAAACAGGGAAAATGACAGGTCAATATCAATAATGGACATAGATGCTAAAACCCTAAACAAAATATTAGCAACTGTATCTGGTAATGTATAAAAAAAAGGAATTATATCATGACAAACCTGTGTTTATACTAGGGATGCAAAGTTGATTTAACATTAGAAACTCTCTTATAATTCACTACATTTGAACAGATTAAAAAGAAAAATTGTACCATCATTTCAAAAAATGCAGAAAAAGAATTTGATAAAATTAACACACATTCATGAGAAAGGAAAAAAATCCTCTTAGCAAACTAGGAATCGAAAAGAATTCCCTTAATCAGATGATAAAGGGTATCACAAAAAACCTAAAGCAGGGGTCAGCAAACTATAGCCTACAGGTCAAATCTGGCCCACCACCTTATATGTTAATAAAGTTTTACTAGAACAAAGCTACGTCCATTCATTTACGTACTGTCTATGGCTGCTTTCCAATGGCACAATAGTTGTGACAGAGACACAATAGCTGTGGCCTGGAAAGCCTAAAATATTTACTATTTGGCTATTTACAGGAAAGTGTACCAATTCTGACCTATAGTAAACATTATCAAAAAGTCAGGTTCCACCACCAATGAAGTATCTTAGAAACATTTACTTTTAAAAGGTAAAAATACTACCTTACCTTTTGTAGAGTGTTAAATAATGACTTGGAATTACTTTTAGAATTGGATTGCATTGCAGTTTTAGTTAATTTCAATTCCCTTTCACACCGTGCTAATCCCTTTTTGAGTTTCTCTCGTCGTTGTTGGTCTGCATCTGAGGGGAAAAAAATCTTTTGAAATACAGAATAAAATAGAAAAATTAATTTTTTGGTGTTAGACGACTAGTAAAGGGCACTTTTTTCTTGCTAAAAATGTTTATACTACTGATATGTAAATAAAAATCCATATACTTTTCTGTATAAAGATAACAAATATTTAATTCATAGAAACTTCAAATGGATTGACTATTTAAAGAGCAGAAACAAGATATGACAAATTGATTAAGCCTAAGGGCTCAAGGGAGCAATTCCTAGCAGATATAGAGATATAAAGGTTAGAAATGCTTGACCGTGTTGTCTGCAACTGTAATCACCAAATGCAGAGTTTGAATTAATCCATATACTCCCCCGCAAATGAAATATTATTGTCAATACCATCATATGCTATAAAAATTTAAGCTTTATATGAGTCAAAAAAATGACACTAAATTTTAAAACATTATTTTTAATTAGGATAACTGATTTCCATTTTTCTTAACTGCTAGTCATTTGAAAATACAAACGAAAAAGGGGGTTTCACATTTTAGTGTGCATTAAGTCAGGTATTGAGTCATTATCAAAGATTGAAAATGGCAAAATGAAAGCTAGTCAAGTTTCAGTGTTAAAAAGAAGGCTAACCATAAGTAAAATGACTTGTATTTTCATGTAAAATTTAAAATTTAACATATACTTTTTAATTGGAATCTATATCAACTTAATGAACAAGATAATTTCAAGTTTCAAATCACCCTGATTTAGGGGGAAAAAAAGGGGCAAAAGGTTTGAAAAGACACTTACTAAAGATATACAAATGGCCAATAAGCATATGAAAAAATGCTTTACATCCTTAATCATGAGGAAAATGCAAATTAAAATCATAATGAGACACCACTTCACACCCACTAGAATGGCTATAATCAAAAAAGGAGTCAATAACATGTTAGCAAGGATATGGAGTAACTGAAATCCTAATTATGTTGGAGGCGAGAATATAAAATGGTATGGCCACTTTAGAAAACAGTTTGGCAGTTTCTTAAAAAGTTAAGTATAATTTACCATATGACCTAGCAATTCTATTCTCAGGTGTATGCCCAAGAGAAATGAAAATTCATATTCACACGAAAGACTTGTACATGAATGTTCATAGCGCACTATTCATAATGGTCAAAAAACAGAAACAGCGCGTCAGTCAATTGATAAATAGACAAAATGTGGCATTATCCATACAACAGAATACTATTTAACAATTAAAAAGGAACGAAGTACTGATTTAGGTTACCATATAGGTTAATCTCAAAAACATTCTAAGTAAAAGTCTAATGCAAAAAAACACATATATGACTCCATTTATATAAAATGTCCAGAAAAGGCAAATGTATAGAGAAAGAAAGCAGATTAGTGGCTTCCAAGGCTAGGAGTGGGATGAGGAAGCAGCTGCAAAGCTATCATTTTGGGGATCTTCTTAAGGTGAGGAAAATATTCTGAAACTGGTTTGTAGTGATGATTGCACAATTCTGTAAGCTTAGTAAAAATCCATGAATTTTATGGTATGAAAATTATTTGTCAATAAAACTGCTATAAAAAATAAAGCCGGGCTTTCCTGGTGGCGCAGTGGTTGAGAGTCCGCCTGCCGATGCAGGGGACACAGGTTCGTGCCCCGGTCCGGGAAGATCCCACATGCTGCGGAGCGGCTGGGCCCGTGAGCCATGGCCGCTGAGCCTGAGCGTCTGGGGCCTGTGCTCCGCAACGGGAGAGGCCACAACAGTGAGAGGCCCGCGTACCGCCAAAAAAAAAAAAAAAAAAAAAAGTCTTTCTAATGCATTAGAATATGGCATTATTTAGACAATTCAACAAAGTATATAGAGATGTTCTAGCTTTGATAAAGACTGAAATTATCAAGTCAGTTGTCTGCTATGACAGAAGAGTATATCTTATAAAAACAGAGATGAATCAAAACCACAGATTTCTTTCTTTTTTAAAATATGTCTATAAAGCCTGTTTCTAAGTTAGTTCATACTGATTATAATGAGCATCAGCTTTGTAACACACAAAGTAATGATTATTAATTACACTTTGGTTTGGTGATTACAATCTTTGCAATTCTTCTAGCCATCACAATTTTCTTCATTTACATGGCCAGAAAGAAAAACTCCTGTCTCAACTGACTGAAAGCAGAAAATATCATGGGATAAATAAGCACTAGCTAAGTCTAAATTCTAAAAACAAAAAATAGGAGTAATTCTTTAAATACAACTTATATGCCGTCAATTTCTGAATTTTTATCTCCATCCTCGAACTCTCTCCTGAACTCCAGACTTTGTATTCCAACTGCCTCCTCAGCATCTCCACCTGGATTTCTAAGAGGTATTTATTTTGAACTTAAAATGACCAAGACTTAACTCTTGATTCACTTCCTCCCCTAAATATCTTCCTATCATATTCCTCATTTCAGTAAGTTGTAACTGTCATTTTAGTTGACAGACTCTAAGTATTGGGAGTCATCTTTGACTCACTCTTCTTTTTCTCTCATATTCTATCTACATCCAGTCCATCAGTAAATACTGTTGACACACATCTGAAATATTTCCAGAATCCAGCCATTTCACATTCCCTCTACTTACAGGCACTTTGGTCCAAGTCACCACTATTTCTCATCTGAATTACTGTCTTCTAACTAGTCATTCTGCTTCTACCACTGACCCTTATAGACTATTCTTAACTCACCAGCCAGAAAGATGCTTTTAAAGTTAAACTGGCTCTGTTCCTTCTCCTCTACTCAAGACCCTCCAATGGCTTCCAATTTCATTTAGAATGAAAGCCAAAGTGCTTGCAAATAGTCATAGCCCTATGTGGTCTGCATCTCTTTGTCCCATCTCAGTGACCTCATCGCTTGTCACTCTTCAGCTGGCTTATTTCACACCAGCTATACAGCTCTTCTTGCTGTTCCCCTGGATCCACTGATCACAATGCCATGTCAAGGCTTTTGTACGTGCTGTTTTCTCCATCTTGATTGCTCTTCCCTCCTTTACCCACTTGCTTCTCCCTTATTTTTTTCAGGTCTCTGCTCACCTTATCAGTGAGGCCTTCTTCTCCAAACTCCCAGTCTCCCTTATCCTGCTTCATTCTTTTTCATTGCACTTATTACCATCTGATATAGTCTATATTTACTCATTTCTTTGCATTTGCTTATCGTTTGTCTCCTTCAACTGGAATGTAAGGTCTATAAAAGCAAACAGTAGGTGTCCAATAAATAATTGCTGAATTAGTCACTGAATAAACTCTAGTGTACTAAACAAAATATGCAAAATGCCTGATTATTTTAAATTGGTGAATTTGGATTTTAAATTGGTGAATTTGGTTCAGTGAGAGGATTAATACATACATTCAGGCTTGTTAATTACACAACCTGAATAAAAAAGAGATAATCTTGTCTTATACATCTATTGTTCAGGAATTTGTTCAGTATGAAAATTTAGCAAAACTTTCCCATTTAGAGCCTAGTTAAAGAGGATTATTTGATCTAATGTCAACTGGGTAAAACCACCTTAATTCAAATGATTCAGATTTTGAAAGCCTAAAAATATTGAACCAGTTTTCTGTGCTATAAAAAGTTACTAATATGATACAGAAGGAGAAATATACAGCATAGAAATTAAAAATCTGGAAGGATCCTTAGAGATTATCTATCTTTCATTTTACAAAAGAGGAGGGAAAGACATAAAATGACTAGCCCATATAGCTTGTGTGCTATGGTGAAACTGGTCTTTAAAAATATATACTCAACACTGTACTCTTGCCTAAAATGCCTTTACCCTTCTTATAAAATTATTCGAATCCTAAGACTCATTCAAAGATATGAGAACCTACATGAAGGCTTGTTGCAAACATAAAGGTCACAGAAGAGGGAGAATACAAAGTGCCAAGCACAGGGCCTGATAAAGACACTATGCTCACTGGTGGCAACTGGCTCAGCTTAAGTCCCATCTGTTCCTATCTGTTCCATTACGAAAATGTACAATCGGAGATAGGTACGACCAATCCCGTTGTCTGTGATCTTTCCCAGATTGCACATAAGGGGCATTCTCCTATCTATGCTCTCATTCATTTATCACTTGGCATGCACTACTTGAAGCTGTTATTTATTTTTTAATGCAGAAGTTCTCTCTCAAACTGTAAATAACAATTAAGTTCAAACAGCAGCTTAAGAAAATACTAAACTTAAAGTTTATAATATTTGATATTTATATAATTACAGTAAGACAAGCACAGGCTATGATATCCATGCTCTTTGGCTATTTTAAAGTATGCATTTCTTGATTGGACTCAAAGGCCTCAAAAGGTCTTAAATGATATGTTTCAGAACATTTTAAAATAGGAATTTCAAATTTTGTGGTCTGATTATTTCCTTAGTAAAGATTTCTAAAAATAGAAATATTTTTCTATGTACATACCATATGTATGTACATACAAAGGGGAGATATATCATGATTCTATAATAATATATGTCAATAGCTTTTCAGATACAAATAACTACCATGTTTATCAGTTAGCTATTAGGATACAAATAGTAGATAATATTTATCTGAAGAAAAGTGCCAGTTATGGTATTTTTAATGAATAATTCAGTAATTTAAAAAAAATTTATTTATTTTATTTATTTACTTTTGGCTGCGTTGGGTCTTCGTTGCTGCATGTATGCTTTCTCTAGTTGCGGTGAGCGGGGGCTACTCTTCATGGCGGTGTGCAGGTTTCTCACTGCAGTGACTTCTCTTGTTGCGGAGCATGGGATCTAGGCATGCAGGCTTCAGCAGTTGTGGCCTGTGGGCTCTAGAGCGCAGGCTCAGTAGTTGTGGTGCACAGGCTTAGTTGCTCGGTGGCATGTGGGATCCTCCCAGACCAGGGATCGAACCCGTGTCCCCTCCATTGGCAGGCGGATTCTCAACCGCTGCGCCACCAGGGAAGTCCCTAATTCAGTAATCTTAACAAGCTGAGGGCAGTGAGAATCACAGAATTCTAGAACTTAAACCTTGCCAATCTTTTCAGTACTATCCAAATTTTTATATACAGGAAAAATGAAACCCAGAGTAGTTAAATAACTTATCCAAAGCTACACAGTGATTTACTGGCAGAGCCTGGGCTCAACTGTAAGTTCTTATACTGAGAAATACAATACAAGCTTCTTTTATGGATGATTTTTAAAAGTTAGAAAATGCTTCCTCAAAATGCAGCATGTCAATACCCATTAGGAGGGTTACTATCAAAAAAAACAGAGAACAAGTGTTGGGGAGGACGTGGAGAAACTGGAACCCTCAAATTGGAAATTGGGAATATAAGATTAAAAGCAGATTTACCATATGGTCCAGAAATTCCATTTCTGGGTATATACACAGAAAAACTGAAAGCAAGATCTCAAACAAATATTCGTACATCCATGTCTATAGAAGGATTATTCACAATTGCCAAAAGGTGGAAACAACCCAACTGTTCATTGACTTATGAACATATAAACAAAATATGGTAGTACATACAATGGAATATTAGTCAGCCTTAAAAAGCAAGAAGATTTCTGACACATTGCAACATGGATGAGCCTTAAGGACACTGTGCAAGTGAAATAAGTCAATCACAAAAAGAAAAACACTGGATAATTCCACTTAAATGAGTTACCTAGGGAAGTCAAATACACTGAGACAGAATATAGAACGATGGTTGCAGGGTGAATGGGGAGTTACTCTTTAATGGGTGTGAAGTTTCAGTTTTGCAAGATGAAAAGAATTCTGAAAATGGATAGTGGTTATAGTTGTACCACAATATGAATGTACTTAATGACACTGAATTGTAGACTTAAAAATGGTTGAGATGGGGTCTTCCCTGGTGGCACAGTGGTTGAGAATCTGCCTGTCAATGCAGGGGACACGGGTTCGAGCTCTGGTCTGGCAAGATCCCACATGCCATGGAGCTACTAAGCCCGTGCGCCACAACTACTGAGCCTGCGCTCTAGAGCCTGTGAGCCACAACTACTGAGCCCATGTGCCACAACTACTGAAGCCTGCGCACCTAGAGCCCATGCTCCACAACAAGAGAAGCCACCTTAATGAGAGGCCTGTGCACTGCAACGAAGAGTAGCTCCCGCTCGCTGCAACTAAAACGAAAGCCCATGCACAGCAACAAAGACCTAACGCAGCCAAAAATGAATAAATTTATTAAAAAAATAAAGTTAAAAAAATGGTTAAGATGGTAAATTTTAGGTCATGTGTAGTTTACCATAATTTTTTTTAAAGGCAATATGTTAAAAATTACTTACATTTGATGCTGGCACTCATGCTTAGTGGAACTGAGCAGTCTACTGCAGCTGAAAGAAAGATCAGTTGTTTAATATTATTCTTAATTTTTATAAATGACAATAAATATCAAATGCGAAAATCACAAAAAGTTCCAGAACTTGCACTTCCTTGTTTTGATTTTTATGCTACTTATAGAGATGAAAAATACCTTTGATAAAAAATATACTGGTTGGGATTAACAGCTCATTAGATACTGCAGAAGGAAATATTAGTGAACTTGAAAACACAGCAATATAAATATTCAAAATGAAACAGAGTAAAGACTGGAAAACAAATGTGCAGAGCATCACTGACTTAACCTACCTGTATCACTCACTTAACATACTTGTAACTGGAGTCCCAAAACAAGCTTGAGAAAATAAAAGAGCAGAATTGGAGCACCTACATTATCTAATTTCAAGACTTACTGTAATGCTATAGTGATGACAGCAGTGTGGTATTCTAATAGACAAACAGATCAACAGAACTGAAGAGTAAGTCCAGAAACAGACTCTTGCATATGGTCAATTGTCTTTTAAAAAGTGCCAAGGCAGTTCCATAAGGAAAGGACAATCTCTTCAACAGATAGTACTTCAATATTTAGATATCCATAGGCAAAAAAGTGATCCTTATATCATACCTTATAAAAAAAACTAACCCAAAATGGATTATAAACTGAAATGTAGGAGCTAAAACTTATACTTCTAGTAGAAAACACACAAGAAAATCTTAATGACCTAAGATTAGGCAAAGATTTCTTAAACAGGATATGAAAAGCATAAACTATTAAAAATTTGAAAAGCTGGACTTGATTTCACATATAACAAAATATTTTTCTTTAGATTTTTTAATCATTTAAAATATAAACTTCAGAAAACACGAACCAAAATTTAAAAACTTTAGCTCTTCTAATGATAAAATTAAAAAATAAAAGACATTGGTGAAAAACTGGTGGAATTCAAATAAGGTCTGTATTTAATAATATGTGTCAATATTAATTTCCTGGTTTTAATAATTGTATTATAGCTTTGGAAGATTTTGACATCAGGGAAAGCTGGGTGAAGGGTTTCTTTGACATTCTGTACTATTTTTGCAACTTTTCTGTAAGCCTAAAGTTATTTCATAATAAAAACTTCAGAAAATGAAAAGACAAGTCACAGACTGGGAGAAAATATTTGCAAAATATGTATCTGACATAGGACCCATATTCATATAAAGAGAACTCTCAAAACTTAATACTAAGAAGACAATCCATTTTTTAAAAATGGGCAAAAAATTTAAATAGATATTTCACCAAAGAAGATATACAGATGGCAAATAAGCATAAGAAAAGTTGCTCAATGAAAAGGGAACCCCTGTGCACTGCTGGTGGGATAGTAAATTGGTACAATCACTATGGAAAACAGTATGAAGGTTCCTCAAAAAATTAAAAATAGAACTACTATATGATTCAGTAATTCCACTTCTGGGAATTTACCTGAAGGAAATAAAAACAGTAATTAAAAAGCTATATGCACTCCAATGTTCACCACAGCACTATCCACAATAGCCAAGATATGGGAGCAAGCTAAGTGACTATTGATAGATGAATGAATAAAGAAGATGTGGTGTACATATATGATGGAATATTACTCAGCCATAAAAAATGAAATCTTGTTTTTTGCTATAACATGAATGGATCTAGAGGGTATTATGAGAAGTGAAATAAGTCAGACAAAAAAGACAAATACTGTATGATCTCACTTATATGTGGAATCCGAAAAACAAAACGAACAAACAAAATGAAAAGACTCAGATACAAAGAGTAAATGAGTGGTTGCCAGAAAGGAGGGAGCTGGAAATGGGGGGCAAAATAGGTGAAGGGGATTAAGAGGTACAAGCCTCCCTTTATACAACAAATAAACCACGGATAAGTACTACATAGCATAAGGAATAGGGTCAATAATATTGCAATTAACTTTTTATGGGGACAGGTGGTTAGTAGACTTGGTGATCATTTCATAATGTATGCAAATGTCAAATCACTATGTAGTACACCTGAAACGTAATATTGTATGTCAACTATATTTCAATTAAAAAAAGGGGAAAAAAAGTTGCTCAACATCATTAGACATTAGGGAAATAGAAACTAAAACCCTATGAGATACCATTACATATCCACTAGGACTGCCAATAGGAAGTGTTGGTGAGGATGTGGAAGTGATGGAAATGAAAAATGTCACTCTGGAAAACAGTCTGGCAGTTTCTTATAAAGTTAAACATACACTTTACCATATTACGCCACCATTCCACTCCTAGTAAATAAATTTATCCAAGTGAAATGGAAACATACATTCAAAGATTCTATGTGAATGTGTACAGCAGCTTTATTCCTAATTGCCAAACGTGAGTCAATACAATCCAGATGTCCACCAACTGATGAAGTGATAAACTAATTGTGGTATATTCATTAAATGGAATACTGCTTAGCAATAACAAGGAAGAAATACTGAACATGGATTAGTTTCAAAAGTGTTAACTAACTGAAATAAGCCAGACCCAAAATGATACATATTGTATAATTCCATTTATATGAAATTCTAGAAGAGCCAAAACTATAGTGAGAGAAAGGAGATCAGTGGTTGCCAGGAACTGGAGGGAAGAGAGTGATTGCAAAGGACCAGGGAGAACCTTTTGGGACGATGAAAATGTTCTATACCAGGAGTCAGTGAACATTCTCCGTAAAGGAACAGAGAGCTAATTCTACAGGCTTTGCAGGGTGATATAGCCTCTGTCACAACTAGTCAACTCTGCCTTTTAGTGTAAAAGCCACCATAGACGATGTGTAAAAGAATGAATGTGACTGTGTTTATTTATGGACGACAGAATTTCAATTTTATGTAACGTTCACATGTTACAAAATATTATTCTTCTGATTTTTTTCAACCATTTAAAAATATAAATAGCACTCTTAGTTCAGGAGCTGTACAAAAACAGGTGGCAGGATGACTTGGCCTGCAAGCTGTAGTTAGTCCATCCTTCTTTTATAGCATGACTGTAGTGGTGATCATAAAAATGTATATATTTTTCAAAAATTTCAACTGTACACTTAAAATTAGTTCATTTTATTATATTTAAGTTACACCTCAATAAAGCTGACAAAAAGAAAAAATTGTAGTTACCATCTTCTCTGTGTTGCTTCTTCAAATTTGAAAACAGCAGAGAAGATCATAAACTTTTGTTATATTAAGATCAGCATCTAATCGCAAAAATATATTAGGAATAACAGGTAAAATGAAACAACATAGATATTACATTCAAATACAGTTAATAAAAATGGCATTTTGAATTTGCTAGGTATATAGAGTCTGTGGCTGGTATCTTACTACACCAAACACAAACCCATGGGTATATAATGTATTCATTTTTGCTACAGATTTACATTAATTAGAAGTGAAGCTGAGAAGGGTTTAAATTGGGTACAGAAAATTAACATTTGCACGTTTTTACCTTTGGCTGAAAGGATTTTATTATAGTGAACAGCCATGTGATTCTTGACCAGTTGGAGGGTACTTAGTCTGAGAGAGGAGGAGTCAGTGCAAAAAGCTAAAAATTAAAACATATTTAATCATTATATATTTAAAATATAAAAGTCATCATGAGATAAACAAGTTACTGATTATTAAGCTCCTTTTTATAAAATGTTCTGAAGTTTAACCACGGAGATACTGACATTATATCTGTGATGCTGAATATGTCCTAGCTGTCACCTTGCACTGATAACGAGCTATTCACTACTTTGCGTTCAAACCTTTCTAGGAATAAGTTTTACAAGCCTGAGAGTTTTGGGAAGAGACTGAGAAATATAATCTACCATTACATTTACAAAACTATTTCTTATTGACAGCTCTCAATCTCATAACTAAAAACGTTTAGCTGCTTGCCTGATGATAAAATAATGTTACCATTGTTAACACTTGAATACATGGAGTCTGGGAAATCAAACAAATCCCAAACTCCAAAACTCTAGGCAAAGATTCTATTCTGAGATGCAAACTTCTAATTTTACATCTGAAAACAAGACCTACAAATCTGTTTACTGCATTCTTTTTGAAGTATTAGGACTATCTTAAGACAAGTATAATTACAAAGAAATTGGATGACATTAAACTTCTTGACCTCCTCTAAACTGTTAAAAGAAATCTTAGAATTAAGCATGTATATATTAGTTTAAATGTATAAAATGTAAATGTAGGCATAACTTTTTTAAATATTAAAAAGTTTTTGAGAATACATGCATGTGGTTAAAAATTATAGCTAAAATGGCATAGAGACATTGAAAAACAAGTGAATTTCCTGCCCTGACCCCTAGGGCAGAATTTCCTTCCAAGGAAATTCTATGCATAATAGAAGTATATACAATAATGATAATCTTGACACTAATACTACAACTACTACTAAAAACATTTATTGAATAGGTACCATGCATATATTGCTCTAAGCTCTTTACCTGTAAAAACTCATTTAGTCATTATTATCACCATTTAATAGACGTGCAAACTGAGGCAGAGAGATGTGAGTAAGGTCTGCAAGGTCACAGAGCTGATAAAGGATGCAGTTTAGATGTGAACCAAGGCAAACTCATACTTACAATCACTATTCCTATACCAGCTCTGCACATATATTCTTTAAAAAAAAAGTTAGTATACGACGTATTGTTCTTTATCCTGCTTTTCTATATATGTATCTTTTAAAACTAGTTCAAAATTTTTATTTAAAAATTGATTTTCAAAGTTTATGATTCTGGCTCTATGTGTATATATGCTTTATTACAAAGAAATAAATGAAGTAACGGAAAATGATTCTTCTTTCACATTTGGAGGATCAGTATAAAGGATTTTTCATGTAAGTAAGGAAAGAAAGACTTTCAATTAGTATTTTGCCTAAAAACCCAGGCTAAAACATTTTAAGCTATAATTATAAAAATACTTTAAATGTACATTAAAATTTACTTTAAAGGCTTTAAAATGTGAAAACATCTACAGAAGACAGATTCCGCTTTCATAGAATCTAGAAGTCCAAGAGGCCCAGTTGGATAAGTGTTTGCTCCTGATACAAAATGCATTTTTCAAGGGCTCTTTTCCTCTGCACAGCTTTTCCTTTTCAGTGCTGTGTCTTTAACAATCTGCTAATCACCATTTTAACAAGGAAGGCATGCCTTCAGCCAGGGTAGTTGGCCAGCAAAGAGAAGAGCTGGGCTGGAGCTGCAGCAGGGAGCACAAGGTAGCAAGGTCCACATCCAGGGCGTGATGGGCTCCTAAATTCTCTAACCTCAAGAATTCCTATAATATGTAATTATAATTGATAATATGAAGTTCAAATATTGATTAAATGAAGTATTTTTTCATCATGTTATATAATTTACAAATAAAGGAAACACACTTGGTCAATCTTTTAACAATCTTTTACCATTTTAAGTACCTCACTTACCATTACTTTTGGTGCTCAAGTGTCCTTTAAATAGGCAGGGTGGACCATATCTGGGAAGGACAGAGGTTGCTCTGACTTTTAACAAAAAAACATGAATTAGGATAAATGAAACACAACTTTCACAAAGACACTACTGAACACATAAAAAATAATAAACTTATCTTTACCAAAATTGTTTAAAATTTTATTCAATCATATTACTAACCAGCAATGATATATCACACAAAAATTCGGCGGCCATAGATAAAAGGCCTTCTCTTTTAAGAAAATAAGTAATTTTCAAAATAGTTGTGCCTTGACGCTTAAGTTTCACTGGATAAAATGATAAACACATTAATTATGTTATTTGATATATACTGACTTTATTCAGTAAGTCACTGACCTACTGGTTTTTAAATGATTTTGAGACAGAACACAACTAGATTTTCAGTTGATACATATGATTAACTATTTCAGTTAATCATAGGCTGGTCTGTCCTTAAAAATAACTTTAAGTAATCCTCTCACAAAGTAATTTGGTAAATTATAAATTATACAGTATAATATTATTATATATAAGTATATAAAAATGTCAGAATCAGAACTTAATGATTAAAGATGTCTTAAGGTTCATCTATTCCAACCCACTTACCCTCTTGGTTGGATTCTATCTAAACATCTTATATTCATAAATTTATTTATTTATTCATTCATTCATTCATTTATTCATGGCTGTGTTGAGTCTTCATTGCTGCCCATGGGCTTTCTCTAGTTGCGGCGAGTGGGGGCTACTCTTTGTTGCAGTGCGTGGGCTTCTCACTGCGGTGGCTTCTCTTGTTGCGGAGCACAGACTCTAGGCACCCGGGCTTCAGTAGTTGTGGCATGTGGGCTCAGCAGTTGTGGCTCGTGGGCTCTAGAGCGCAGGCTAAGTAGTTGAAGCCCACAGGGTTAGCTGCTCTGCAGCATGTGGGATCTTCCCCAACCAGGGCTCAAACCTGTGTCCCCTGCAATGGCAGGTGGATTCTTAACCACTGAGCCACCAGGGAAGTCCCTAAACATCTTATATTTAAAAGCACCTCTAGTGATGGAAAACTCACTCTGTCCCCTAAAGTCAGTGTCTCATGTTTCCGACCAGATAGGCTGTCAGAAAATTATATATATACTTTATCACAAAATAACTTCTCTCCCGAAAAAGTGATTGTGTTTTGAGGGGTAACCTCCAAGATAGGAAGGCTGAGTTACAGAGTTTAATGGAATTTAACGTGCAAAATATAGTGTATCCCAAGACATGTTTTAAGTGGGTAAAATGGCCAGTCTGCTATCAGGTGAACTTTTATAAGCTATAAAGGTGTGGGGAAGACACAAAGTCTGCAAGAAATATGATGTTTGAAAATAGAAAAAGAGTTATCGAGATAGCAGAACTGAAGTTTAGGATCAGAGAACAAAGCCTGCCAGAACAGACTAAAACAAAAAACAATCTGAGATCAGAATACCCAAGAAGCTCCTTCTACATCATAGGCCAGAGAGCCAGAAGGAAAACTATTAACTTATTTAGGCCAAGAGAAGTCAAGGTGATACCACTTGAGCTGGTAATGAAGACAGTCATGAAATTAGCATAGTTTTTGCCCGGAGAGAGAGGCTAAACATAAAAAGAGCAAACTAACCAACAAACTCTCAAGCAAACCTTATTTCTCCAGAGGGAAAAAAGTGTTGACTTTTTGCCTGCCCAGAATCCAATGCCCCTTTATCTGGAAATAGGACCTCAACCTGCTTGGGGAACCACTCCTCCCCTCTCTTACCCCAGCTGGTTCAAGTGGAGCCCACTGCTCAGAGGTGGGCATATCACCCCAAACTGGCCAGCAATGATGACTGAATCAGGAGTGACTATGTGACCCAAGTCCAGCCAATGAGACATAATCATGGGACTTTTACTGGAACTCTTAGGAAATTCCTAGAACATAAATAAGTGTGGCACTACTGGTGGCCATCTTGCACAACACAATGGGAACCTGTCTGAGAACGAAGCCTACACAGAGGGAAGTGTAACCAAGACCAAATGAGATCCCTGGTAACATCGTCTGAGTGTCGGGATCTAACCATGTTTGAAGCTCTACCCTCCCTAGCCTATTCGTACATGAACTCAAAAAGTCCTATTTTAGCTTAAGCCATCTTGAGTTGGGCTTCTTCACCTGTAGTCAAATGCTAACTTACTGAATACCGCTAACTGTGCCTGGCACTGTTCTAAGCACTTTGTAGAAACAAATTCACTTAATCCTTACAACAATCCTATGAGGGGTACTATCATTATCCCCACTTTATAGATGAAGCACAAAGAGGTAAGCATGTAATTTCCCCAAGATTACACAACTATTATGGGACAGATTTCGGGTCTGAACCTAGGCAGTCTGGCTTCTGAGTCAACCATTACACTATCTTGATCAATATAAATTGCTTAGGGCTCAAACCATGCTCCAAGCTACTATATCAAGTGAAACAGGCTAAGTAGTATGTAGTTTATTCCCTGTATGCAGTTTATTCCCTCCAAATTCCTTTCTAATGTATGTGTGTTTCCCTTCAGTTCACAGAAAAAGAAAAAGCAGGTATATCTAGAGAAGTTAGAAAGCACAATGTCAGAGAGAATAAATGACAAAAGATAAATTATAACGTTCGATGTCTTAATATTTTGTGCTCTTGAAAGCATCAAAGGTAACCTCTTAATGAAATCAAAGAAATTTAGAAAGTGCAATACTTTCAGTTAAAATTAAGTATTTTAGCTCTGGCTAAAATTACTTATGGTTTCCTATTAATAATTATGGTATAGGAGAACTGACTACCCTAGATCTCTGTTGAATATTACATTTTGTTTAAAAACTCAAAATAAAAAACGTTTGATACTATATATTATATAATGTCCTAAAAATGAAGCTAATTAAATTGGGTAAGTTATAAAAATAGAAACCTTTTTACATTTTGACATGAGCCTGACTTTAAAAATAATTTAATTAATAAATACTGACACTAAGTCTTACTAAGTCTATTATATTCTAAATTTTACATATATCCTTTCCCATGCTCCCACTTCTACCATGGGATAGTTAAGTAAAACAATGGCTCTCGGGTTTCACATTCATCACACCTGGATTCAAAGCCTGTTGTGCCACTTAACTGTGACCTTGGCAAGTTACTTATGATCTTTTAGTTTCTTCACTGTAAAATGAGAATACCTATGTACAAGATGTTCTGTGGATTGAAAAACGTTAACTTGAGAATAGTTTCTGGTACACAGAAAGAGTAATGTTAGCCTATGTGGTAAAACTTCTGAAAACCATTAACAGCACTTTCGTTTGCTTTTTCTGGAACTTAGGTGGCAAGGTGTCAGAGTATACCGTTTGGTGATCAATGAATAGTTATCTCCTACATTTAGAACAGCACTTATTTTGATCAATGATTACATAATAGAGGTGCACTTGTATTCAAAGCAAGACTTGTTGCAAGGAACCATCCAGCAGCTTGGTTTAAAGGTACAGTTTAAAATAGATAAGAACACTGAATTGGGAGAAGAGGTCTGAAGACTGCCTTATCTGCCTCGCTCAGAAAGTGTGAAGATGCAGATTATTTGGACTGGGCTGACTCCTAGAATAAAGTTATATGGCTCAAATTGTTCCACAGTGATGTACATTTTAACCCAGAGTATTCAGTCAAGGGCAGGTATACATAGTGACCATGGATTAGTCCTTTGCTCCTAAAACTGTAGCCAGCAATGCTGCATCATTTGGAAGCTTATTAGAAATGTAAAATCTCAGCCCCGCCCCCCACCCCGCATCAGACTTACTGAATCATAACCAGCATTTTAACAAGATTCCTAGGTGATTCCTATTCGCACTAAAGTTAGAGAATCCCTGGGTTACTCAATGGTGTTTTTTTTTCGGGGGGGCGGGGACGGGGTTACAGTATGAAGGATTTTGTATTTACTGAATACTTACAATGTGCCAGGAGCTTTGTATGTATTATCCGCATTTAATCCTCAAGATTAAATGGGTGTTTTTACCCATTTAATGTAAAAAAAAATCCACGGGTGTTTTTACCACCACCCATGGTTCGAGATGAGGAAACTGAGGCTCACCCCTCGGGAGTGCAGCGGGGCTTAATTTTGGGCCCAGGGAGGTCTGACTCCAAAGACCACATTTGGTTCCTCTGCCTCCGACCCCGAATTCAGGGGACAGGGCCTCCTGGAGTCAGGGCAACAAATTCTGAGCAAGAAGTGGATCTGTGAATCCCGCAAGCAGGGCTTCATCCCGGGCGAGAGGCCTGGGCAGCTCGGGGCAACACTCGGGTCAACACCGGCGACTAAGCAGGGGTCGGGGAGCGCCCAGCGCGCGGCCTCAACCCGCGCGGCCCGTTACCCGGACCCCAGACCCGAGGGTCGGAGAGCGGGTCGACGCGAGATGGCGGTCGCCCGCGGCAGCTGCCCTTTACCTCTCCGGCTGCCATCCATGCTTAGATCCTCTTGCAGCCGCCGTGGGGACACGCTGGGTCCCCTTTGGTCCTTCCCGGGGCCGGGCCAGCCGCCGCAGCAGACGTTCGGCGAGAAAGAAGCCGCGGCCGGCGGCAGGAGCTGAAGACTGACGCAAAGCAGGTTGCTAAGTGCAGGCTCCAAGGCGCCGGGATTGTGACGTCACGGCGCAGGGACGTGCGCTCCCGCGGCCCCGCAGCCCCGCCCCCCGCCGCAGAGGACGCTAGGGTGGACGGACTGGGCGGGGAAAGAGCCCCAAGCGCCAGTCAGTTGCTCTGGATCTCTGCTAGTAGTCCACAGAGCGGCCGCCAGTCAGGAGTCGAGCCACCAGCACCTGGCAGGCCTCATCCCTTCGGGAAGAGAGGGAAGAGATGGTAGTCTCATCTGGCATCCATGTCCCTTGGGTCCCGGAAGGAAGTCAAACGCAATTGTTGGTTGAGGTCAGGGTAACATTTAACCAGTCCAAATAATTTAATTTCCAAGCAGTACGTGAACATTTGGATTAGTGAAAATCCTGGGGATGAAAAACATCTACATATTTATATCTTAATTCTTAACCCCAGTAATCAGTTTGCATTTCCTTTCTGCTTACTGAGCTTCCTCCATCCTCTTCCACCACCCCCCTCCGCCTTTTTTATCTTAAGGCGCCAATGTGTTTTCCTTTATGATGGAAGAGAGTTGCAACATGAACAAGGCATTGATTTATCCGTGACTTTGAACAATTTGTTCAATTTTGAAGCAGTTACTTTTGAATTCTTGGAAATAAGAACAGAATGGGGTGTGGAGCATAGTAATGTGTCACTTCTCAGCAGCAGCTCTACTGACATTTTGGGCTGGATTCATAATTCTTTGTTGGGGGGTGGCTGTCCTGTGCACTGTAGGATGTTTAGCAGCATCCCTGGCCTCTATGCACTGCATGCCAGTAGCAACCCACCCACGCCACCCCTGGTTGTGACAAAAAATGTCTCCAGCTGTTGCCAAAGTTCCCCTGAGAGGCAAAACCGCACACAGACAGACAGACAGACACACACACACACACACACACACACACACACACACACACACACACACACACGCCCCCAACCTCTGCTGTAATGGAAAAAGTACTGGCTTTGGAGTCAGTGGAACTTACTGACTCCAAAGTGGAGTGGAACTTAATTGTGGAACTTAATTGTGAGTTTTTTGCTACAGTTAGTTCCTAAATTTCTTGAATTAGTTTCCAAACCTCTCCAAGCCTCAAGCCCCTCTTTTCTAAGATGTAAGAGATGCTACTAACTTTGTAGTTGTAAGGATTAACACATACAGTGCCTGGCAAAATGAGATGTTCAGAAAATAAAAGTTTTCTCTCTTCTAAGACTTTGTCTCGGAAGAACTTGGGTATCAGGAAATTCAGGCATAGGGGAGTAAGTCAGGAACACTATGAAAAGGAAAGGGGAATAAGCCAGAAATTCATCTGAACTCCTGATTCTCTAAGACTCTAGGGAAAGGAGAAAATTAGATTCAAAATCTGAGAAATATGGAAGTGTGTGTGATGGTTCTGTGGCCCCCAACAGCAGAAGTCATTTAGAGGGGTGCAGGGGTAGTGAGTCAGGTGTTACCGAGAGAACAAAAACACTCTTGCCTACCTACTTATTAATGCTTGAAATCCCTGTCTAAAAACATGAAACCTTTTATTCCACTACTAGCATCTGGAAAATATCTTGCATATAATAGGCCTCCAGTAAGCATTTGTTAGATTGAATTAGAACCAAAACATAAAGGGCAAACGCCTCTGGGAGAAGCAACACAGTGACTTGACTCACACAAAGGTGATGCCAGCTTCTCTTGTGAAAGTAGATTTGGGGTATCAAAAGTAAATTTGAGTTTCAGATAGGAAAGGGCCTCCACGATTAAGTGAGGACAGCAAAGTGGGAGAGGGTTCTGAAGACTATATTGCTTGCTATCCAACTTCAGCTGAAGCCATCCTCATTTCATTATTTTTCTTTTAAGTATTTTATTCCAATTCTTTCAAGAAGTGGACAATAGGGTCTTTTTCTCTCCAATTTTAGCAGAGAACATATTATCATAAGTGCATTTTAATTTGTCCTTGGCTTTCACTCTAAGTGTATAAAGAAGAGAGAGAAGATCCTTTCTGGTTGCTGTTCCCAGGAGATAACCCATGATCATAGGCAGATGCATGCAGCTAATATGGGCTTATTGTAAATTTAGCTTCCAGGAACACGCTTCCACTGGGGAATCACCACCAGTTGCAATAGTCTTGGAGAATAGACATTCCTGAAGACTTCTGTTGAGTATTTAAACATGAATTTCTCATTGTTAAGAAATCATTCCAATGGTACATTTTTGTTATTGATATCTGGAGGCTTGTATCTGTATTTTAGAAGGAAAACAATTTTCTCCCTTAATGCATTGCTATGTTTACTTTTATTATTGAGTTTCTTCTTTTTGTCTTAGCTTGTCAGCTCAAAACTAAGACTTGTGCTCAGTTGCAATAACTATTCATAGCCTATTTTTCTATTTATCTCTTTAATTCCCTTTATTAGGCAGGTGTCTTTTATTCTTCTACTCTTATTTAATGGTTTAATCAAACCTATTTTTTAAAGCATTAAACATGAGGTTTATTTTAAGGATGAGTCCACTGTGTGTTATACTGACAGTAGATACAGGGCCAGAATAAGTTTGTAAATATTCATACATGTGTAAAAAAGACTGCAACTTATACATACTTTCTTTACTTGATTGAAAGACTTCTTATGGTACATAAAATGCTTTCTGTAGTTGATCTCAGCTTTGTTCACACTGAAGTGAGTTGCATCCAGGTTTTCTAAGCTCAAGACTGCTCAATTGCTGCTGCTGCCACTGTTGGTTTGTTTTCTTTCAGGATCAAGGTGGATACTTTCATATCAAATCTTGTTTTTAATTCCTTCTCTGGCAGGTCTTTCCTGGATTCTTAGCTTTACATAATTATACCTACAATTGAACCAGCATCCTAAAGTTACCAAGATAAAACCTCCTACTTCCAACATCACGTGATCTTCTAATTCTACTGGTTAACAAAAAATGTCCAAAGCCAGCCTCAACAGATCCTAATGAGCCGTATAATATCGAATCCCGTGCATAGGGAATGTTTTCAACATCTAAAATTCATAGGAGCTTAAACGGCTTCCCCTTCCTGGGTCCCCCGGGCTCCAGCACAGCCGCCATGGGGACGGTCAGCGCCTTTGCCCCTAATCAAGCCTATTTTTAATTAGATGAGTTTGAAGCCCTTTGGAAATGGGGATATAAATAAAATAAACTATGTATTATTACATACCATAATATATAGCCTAATACATATACTATATAGTTCGTTTATTCTATTTTATTATATATTATTTTAAGACATATTGTATTATTACATTTACATTTAATCTATATCTTTATAGAGTACCATTACTTGCATAATTCAGAGGACTCCTGGAATTTATATTTGTCTGCTTGGCCATGCTCAGTATCATCAATGAAAACTATCCAGTAAATGCAGTGAAAGCACCAAGAGGTAAAGGCCAAGATAATCTTTTCCCATTCAATGGCTAATTATGAACATATTTTCATCTTTAAAGTCCCTGAAGGACAAAAATGAAGGACCTTTTTTAGGGAATATTTTTTAAGGTGTACCTATCAGGGCAGAGAAAAGAAATGAAATGAAATGATCAATGTGCCCTATATGTTGGCCCCAGTCTCAAGACAAAATCCCTTAGGTTTTGGTGGAAACCTTGGAAATTTGAGCTATTGACTATTTCTCAGTCATTCTCCAATCAAAATACTGTAGCTATTCATTCATCTAATAAGTAAATGAGAAAATGGAACTTCAGAGCTTGGCGGTATTAGCATGTTATGAAGTAATGGATTAATTTGCTGTTTGTCACTAGAGGGGGCTTTAGGAAAGTTTTAAGCTGCATCTCTATGAGGAAGACAGTCAAGCCATAGGAGGCAACATTAACTTACAAATCTTACTCAAGGAGTGTAAGGAGTGAAAAGCATTTTGAAACGTGACTTCAAGGTAGAGCTTCTCCAATAATTGTTAGTGACATATATACCGAGTTCTTTCTTGAGCATAGGAAGAAATTACTGTATTATCTGAAGGCCCTTCATGAATAAAAAAATCTTCATCATTGTCAACCTATAACTTGAGTTTTCTTAATTTTATTGTTAAAGATGGAGAGAACAGTAATGACCATAATCTCTATAAAGCAACATGTGCTTAACAGATAGAAAAAAAGGACAGATAGACAAAAAAAGAGTGATAATAGGATAAACTGATCCCAAATGACCATTTTGAGTTCTCGTAAGAAAAAGAACTCTGATATCTGAACACAAATATCATCTTGTCCATAGAAATTTATCAGAGCTGTAACACCACAGAGTTCACTGCACTTTTACGGTCCATTCCACACTTTACTTTCATTTTTCCTATATTTTAAAAGAGCACAAAATTATGACTCTGGAGGTAGCTTAGCTGGCTTCTTGTTTCTTGAAAAGAATCACTCATATCGTGACCCTTTGGAAAGGCTGCCAGAATTGCAGATATTAAGTCGGCTAGTAACTGTAATAGTCCTCCACAGCTCCAATTTCTCCCCAGCTGTGTTTCTTAAATCTTTCTGTCCAATTAAGAGAAGTCTCTGTGAACAGAACTTAAACATTCTATGGTTACTATGTAACCTGTCCCTATAGCTTAAGAAGAGCATTGTATCTATTTTTCCACTGCCAATCAGTTGCCCACAATATATCTGGGTGGAGGCTCAGACTGAAGTTTTGATAATCTCCACCTAATGCACTCTCTGTTTACAAGTGGCTTCACCGCTAAAAAGAAAGCAAAGCAAAACACATAACCGAGCTGTTAGTTTATCCTGATATTATTTCTTTCAGTTAAAAAAATAGAGTTTGGAGTTTTAACGATTAGTGGATTTCTGGGAAGCTGCAATAAAGCTCCTATAGGTGCGTCTATGAATAGCAAATAGCCACATAAAATCGGTTAAAAAAACCCCTGAGTTTGTAAGCCAGCAATGAAAACCATCCTTTTATAATGCCCTACCTAGTTTTCCTAAGGGATTCAATCTCCACTCC